GTTCTGATTTCTTCCCACAAGAGTCCTTGCCGTCAAACAGTATTTGGTCGGCTTACATGGTTTTCAATCAATTCTAATGAATGATGAGTCATGCTAAAACCTTTTATTGTTAAACATGAAAGATTGGTGTGCAGTGTCAAGGCTTACCAAAGACAGAGTATAACACAGCTAATTAAAGAAGTCTAAGTTGAAGAAAATGATTCTAAAGGATTCTGTCAAAGTAAAAGACAAAAAAGACAAGTTAATTTCCTGTGGAATAAAGCATGGCTATCAAATATAATTAATATGTCTTAGCTCCCCTTATCTTTGCATCTGTGCTTATCATTTTCATATTTATATCATTACAATATTTATATATATTGAATGAATGATTACTTCTATTTATATAATTAGTTCAGTTTATCAATGATAAAGTTTGTGTTTCATTTTCATATGATAAAAGGTAATAATGTACTGTATCATTTTACTTACTTGACGGCTGACTGTCTGTCACTTCACGTGTGCTGCTCTTTCACATAGAATGTGAAATATATTCACATTATACCTATTATATTTCCCACTGTTTTTGTTAACCAACCCCAATTTACAAGTGTCTGGGATGACTGAGCGAGTCTAGTATAAATGTCCCATGTTCATAAAAACCCATCTGAACAGAATGATTGACATTTTTGATCAGTGGAAACATTTAATTAGACACTTTTTTATTTGAAGTTACTCAAGATCATATATCAACATTCCGTTTAAAAAACATCCAAAGGAAACCATCTCACTTCATTTCTACAGCAAAATTGTCCATTTGTCTTATTGTGTCTCTCCCCTCTGTCTTTTTTATTTGTCGTTTTCTGCTATAAAAGAATTTGGCTCTAACATGATGCACAAAGAAGCCTGTGATCTATAGATGAAGGCGTTGTACCTTTATGACCAGGAGAACAAACTCATTTATAGCGAAAGGAAATCCTGCCCTCCCCCACATAGACAAGGTTAGGACCCCTGCTATGGCCACAGTGTGGACGCTCTCAGGCCTTAATAAATGATCCTTCAGGTAAAACCAAAAGGCCTGGAGGCTAAGTGTCCCTGCACAAGTGGTTCAAGGACAATGGATGCTCAAATGGTTCTCTGAAATGCACGCTGATGGAAACTTTATTGTAAAAATATTGTACAATGCCTTTATGATGTGCTCGTGGAGGGCTGCTGGGTGAGCGTAATGGCATATATAGTCATGACAATGTCTTTTATGCTGTGGTCTCCAGGGAGTGGATGGACGTGCTCAGTCCTCCTATTATGGCTCCCGGTCAGTGCCGAAGGTCACAAAACACATGGGACGATCCTGGAGATTTAGGTGGAGGTAATTCTTTATCTAATATTTACTAAATAGTACATATTTTACTGTTATGTGACTCTGACGACTCTCAGGTTCATTTATTGGCAAAAAATTCCACTCATTCACTACATTAACCCTTTACTTGCACCTGAGCACTTTGGTTTGTAATGTCAAATCATATGAAATGAATGATTAAAAGAACACAAGAAAATGTATTGAAAAAGAAACATAATTTTTAAAAGATAAATGCAAAAAAATTGAAGGAGTACTACTGTCCATCTTATTTATTTTGTAAATGGGGCAGGCAAAATAAGATTATTTTCTACAAACTGCGACTTTTCATTTGTACAGTATGACAGGACACAACATGTAATATTACAATTAGTTGAAATTCAATTGTAATATATGTATGTATTGTCATGTCCACAATTGATATAAATAAATAAATATGTTTCTGATATGGAGAAAACACATGAAAAATCAATAAATAAATGAAATAAAATATAGTTTGTATACATCTCAAATAATCTAACCCTCAGGTGGTAAAGAATCAAAAATGTACTTTAATATTTTACGTCCCAGATCCTTCACCCCGTGACAAAGCACCGAAGCAAATGAAAACATAACATTTCTGTCTGAGGCAATGAGTCAAGTGTCCGCCGTGACTCTTAACTACATTCTTTAAACGGAGGCTGAAAAAAAAATCTGTGAAGCCACTTCTAATTAAGGGCCAAAACCCACTAGCGGTGCGCTCCGTGTCCTCTGTCTAACTCCATAGGTCAGAAGAGACAGGCTCATTACACGTGTGCTCCCCCCTAGATTCGCCCACTGGGTTAATTGACAAAACCCTTTTCTGGTTTACAACATCATTTTGAATCCGCTTTCACTACTTGTCTTGTAATTAGTTTTCATTTATGCCGCTGAACTTCTGATAAGATAAAGCGATCCTCGTGGGGGCACACCATAAAGTGTTTAGGCATTTCACGGACTGTCAATTTGACTGTCAACTGCATCCAGGCCTTTAAATGACAGGGAATTTTGGCACATGTGAATGAAGACGATTAAAGTCAGCTTGAAGGTCACAAAGTGCATGGTATAAAATGTGCTTTTTCATCTTCGCTGTGTCGTACAGATGTTGCTGTTGTGTCGTCTATTTGAATAACTACTAAAGTGTCTCTTTTGAACAATTGCCTTTGAATGTCTCTGATTTAATTTTTTTGGTCTATTTCAGAAGCGGATAAATGTGTGATTGAAGAGAAAGAGGAAGAGTATTTGAATCTGCTCTATGATCCCTGCCTCAACTGCTATTTTGATCCAAAGTCGGGGAAGTACTATGAACTAGCCTGACACAAGCTGATAAATATCTAATGAATAAATCACAAGATGAATGTCCTATGGATTTTCAGGCTGGGCTATTGAGCTGTTCATGAATCTTTTCAAGTGTCACGATTGTGGAGGGAAATCAACTCGCATAAAGGCGTTCACGCTTTGTTGCCTGTTCACTCAGGGCTGAACTTTTCTTTTAGAGGTTTCTATTGAAAAAAAAAAAAAGCTTATTGGCAAAGTGATAATATGAATACCATGAAAGAACTTTGATTTAAATAGATTCCTTCCTGCACTCTACTTGCCCTGCAGCATCCGCATCATACTATTGTCTTGATGCAGATATAAATGAATGTGTGGGGGCGATCTGAGAGGCAATAAACATGGTTTCAAGAATGTGTTATTCTTCACAAAGTTCCATTTAAGAATTGAGGCTCTAACATCAGACTTGGCAATCATCACAACCTCATGATCTGTTGACAAAACAATCACGACTTCTCAGTAAACTTTACTTTGTGCAAGGTGGAAAATACAAACGGTTTATTCTGTTCTGTAGGCTGAGTCCTGGACCTATAGCCCGTCTGTTCGTGGGAGCGGATGCCTGGGCCTCTCCAAGGTTTCTCACCTTTTCCCACTGGGTTTTAGAGATTTTCCTTGTCGATGCAGGAGGGTCTAACACAAGGACAGTGGAGATGATCCAGGACACTGAACACACAACAACATCTATAGGCGTGTATCAGCATTTATGGACATTGATCGTCTACCTACACTATATGGACCACATGTGTTTTCTATCACTGCATTTCTTGTGCTTGAGTTTCTTGTCTCTGTTGGAGAATTCAACGGTTGTAAAGTCCTCCATGATAACTACTGTTGTGATTTTGAGCTATGCAAGAAAAAATTGAAGTACATTGAACATGAAGGATGAGCTGGAATCGACATGCTCCTTGTACCATGGTGGCCCTGTTGGGACCTTCTTCCACATGGTCTGGGAGTATCAAGGGGTTACCAGGTTCTGAGAGATGGTGGCTCCTGTCGTGTCTGGTTTCTTGCTCTCCCCAGGTTTTTGTTTTCGGCTTGGACTTAACAGGGTGCAGCAATGAGTCCTCTTGAAAGGGTTTACAGCTGGCCATGTTTGCCCCAACTCACCATCTCATCGACAGTGGGTTAGGACTGCTATTAGCATTAGAGCATGGGAATCTGATCTGGGAAGAGTGCACTTAACACATGAATTTGAGTTTTTTGGATTATGAGGTTTATGTGTGTATTTGATTTGGTAATTTTTTTGTCCTGGTCTTGTGTGTGCTTTTTGTTTTATAATAAATAAATAATTTCTAACAAAAAAGAAAAACAAGTTATTAGTCATTATTTCTCGGATTATAGTACATGATATTAAGTGTGTACGTTTAAATTTCCATCCATCCATTTTCTACCCTTTAATCCATTTCTGGGTCAGGGGGGTGGCAATCAGAGATGCCACCCAAGTCTCATAGCACCAGCCCCCAGTTTAAATTTCAGTTTTGGATATTTCATATTTACAAATTACCTATTATTGAAATAATCATGTTTAACCCGTTAAAGTTCACTCCTTGAAGAAAGCAATATATATATATTAGGATTTTCATAATTATCATTTTTTTAACCCCCATTTTTTTATATAGCAAATGGTTGCAATGCAGTTTGATGCTACAAGTGCCTAACAAAGTGAGATGCCCCTGAGGTTTACTTCAGTTCCAAGCTTTAAGTAGATATGTCTCAAAAAGTGATCTGCAAAATGGTTGAGGAACCCATTAAAGGCTTAAATCATAACACAAAGCTTTCAGCCAACACTGTCATTAAGAGAAACCTTTTATTCATCCAAATGTAGGATTCAGTGTTGCATCACAAGTAGGAATAAGGAGCACACAGCACACGATAAATGAACCATAACTCTAAACTAAAATAAAATAAAATATAATCTTTTAGCATAAAAAAAGAAGTTATATACAATATCTGGCTTTAGCATAAGGAAACAAAATTAAAATTTCCAGCTTCACTATACACAATATTCTCAGGCACCACCTCAGTCTTTGTTTTCTGACACATTACAGAACTACAGAATTTATGTTCGATACGTTTTAGTTTGAGAGTAAACGCAATAGACTGTAAATGCACAACACAAGTTATTTTTTTTATTTTTTTTGGCCTGTCACGTGACGCTGCTAGTGGGCGTGGAAAAGTATCAGGTGCGGAATCCCGGAAGACAACAAATATGCAACAAACTACTTCGATAAAAAATGCACTTAATTCCCTATAATTAACATTTTTAAAGCCACATTTTTTGGGCTAGTTACGGAGGGATTTAAGCTGTTCAAGGATGTCAGCAACAGAGGTTAGGCACACTGAAACGTGATCACTATTTAACTGTGCTTAGAACTCATTCTGTTCTGTACTATTTATTGCTTTGATCTCCCTTCTCAAACCCACATTTTACTGACAGTTTTAAACCTCATTCTATTCTACTGCTCTGTTTTAATATAACATGATTGTATCTTTCATTGACTTCATGCATTTTGATCTGTGTTTTTAAATTCCTCTTGGAAAGCACTTTGTCCTTGTACATGAATTATGTTAAACAAATAAGATTCATTGATATTCTAAGACATTAATAACAATCTTTAAGTTTTGTTTTTTTCTGTTGGTGTCTCTCCCTCTCTCTCAGATCTCTCTCTGGTCTCTCTCTGGTCTCTCTCTGGTCTCTCTCTCAGATCTCTCTCTGGTCTCTCTCTGGTCTCTCTCTGGTCTCTCTCTGGTCTCTCTCTCTGGTCTCTCTCTCAGATCTCTCTCTGGTCTCTCTCTGGTCTCTCTCTGGTCTCTCTCTCTGGTCTCTCTCTGGTCTCTCTCTCTGGTCTCTCTCTGGTCTCTCTCTCTGGTCTCTCTCTCTGGTCTCTCTCTCTGGTCTCTCTCTCTGGTCTCTCTCTCTGGTCTCTCTCTCTGGTCTCTCTCTCAGGTCTCTCTCTCAGGTCTCTCTCTGGTCTCTCAGCAGGACTGTCATTTAAATAAGCAGTGGATAAAATTAACCTTACCCTGCGTGGTTATCACTGTTTTGTGATTTTAAAATTCACCTCAAAAAGAGTAAATTTTGTTGAACTAATAATCGTAGTGGAACCTACTTTATTATTGTGCATGGTGGAATCTCAAGAATTACGCTCAGTATTATTTCACACTTACAGCACGTACTTAGAGCACGTACACAGAGCATATTGAGTTGAATATGCTCTTTATAAGTGTGAAATAATACTGAACGTAATTCCTGAGATTCCACCATGCACAATAATAAAGTAGGTGCCACTATGATTAAAAGTTCAAGAACATTTCCCAAACTAACACATATAATGTCCTCCATAGGTGACTGTGTATGTTCTTTCATGGGAGCAATTAGAAAGGATCTGAATCCAAGAGGATGTCAGTCCCATTCTCTATAAAGCCACGTCACACTTTCACTGCATAAAATAGACAAAAAAAAGACAATTATCACCTCGTCTCTCTTTCTTTTATATTGATTGTCAGTTCAGCCCCCCACACAGCTCCTTATGTGCTTGTTCTCGTGGGTTAAACACCTCCGTGATCCAGAGCGCTGCTTCTGCATATTAAGCTGTCATTTATCCTTGCATCTATCCTTTTATCAGCTCCACTCATCATCATACTGTGAGCTTTATGGGCTCTTTAACTGTACCTCATTGTTAAATCACTCTGTTCTCGTTTGTCTGTTCAGGTGGGGCCTCGTCTCCATCCTGGACTTATTGCCTCAGTAATCTTTGTTTGTGGTGCCGCCATCGCCGCAGCAGTATTGATCATCCGGAAATACTGCTTCCCAGTCAAGTAAGCCAGTGCAATGGTGTGCTTTAATATCGTGCATTAAAGTAAGTCATGAGGAAATGGGGAGTCACTCCTCGCTGTTGGGTCCAAATGTGGGAAGAATGACATCATAATTCCGGGACATTGCCCAACAAACAAAGTCATTTATAATGTTAGATAAAGAGTGATCACAGAAGTCAAGCACACATTTGTACGTTGTGCTTTGTTTGTTGAAGTCAAACAAAGTAAAGGGAGTTTGCTCCATTAAGCCACTTAAGTTCTGATACTTGGGCTTTAAGTATCTTCTGAAACCTGCTCTTAACCGATTTGAATAGACTGACATTTTTTAACACCAAACGAAAATATTCTTTATTAAATTGATGATTATGTGTTGACGCTTATTTTGTCGGTTTTTTGTTGTTTTTCATCCATCAGACAAAAAAACAAACAAGTATTGCAGCAACAGAATATACCGGAACAGTCAGATTTATGTGTTTTACAGAGAGGACATAAACAAACAAACAAACAAACATATCAAAATTAGTCGTACACTTTGTTCATTTAAAACGTACTTACACACGCACAACACGGCAGGGCTGCTCGCTTTATGTTAAAAAGTCTATTTTAGTAAAAGTAACACCTTCAAGAAAGCGTTTGTATGAAACTATTACCTCGTACACTCTCCTCATATACTTAATGGTACAACCAAAAATAATCAAATATATCTAAAACTTAAAATAAGTTGTTTGTATATTTTCACACAAACTTCTTATTGTCAGACCATAATCGTGCAACACATTTTGACAGTTCATGAGAATAATGAAAAAGACGAAAAGTTATATTGGGAATGAGTAAATAATGCTTCTGCCACACGACTAGACCTGTGATACTTACATGCTCCTTTGACAAATCTTCAAAATAAACCCAAATTAAGAGATATTTCCCAATTTCAAAAACTTTGGCTGTTTATACAATATACAAACTTGAATGCATGTTGGATCTACGCATCGATAATATAAATGTAGCGTTCGTCGCAACAGAAAGAGTTCTCAATTTGTGAAGAAATCAGACCAAAACATACTGTCTTCCCTTTTTGGAGAAGTATTTATTTATGTATTCAGGAACTGGTCAACAAAACAGGATGAACAAGAACAAGTTTAGAGACCAAACTTAAACACGTATGTCATTTCATCAAGAAAGTCAAACACACAATGTCGGCATCTGTCTCGAGCTTCACGGATTTGAACATTCCAAATCCAGGTTTTAAAACGTGTCTTTTAATCTGAGCTGATTATTTTTCTATTTGAATGCCTTGATTTGAATGTGTCTTGTTTTGTTACGCACTTAGAGTTGCCTCATGTATGAACTGAAACCTGCCTTTCCTTGTAAGAAATACTCACTTTTAGATTCTTTGGGTATATTGCTGATTGAATGAGCAAGGTTAGTCATCTCTTTTTCACATATCCGTCTAAAAATATGATCTTAAGATGTAACTGAAAATACATGAATGTGCAGACTCCAGATATAATTAAATTCAATGTATTTTTGTATTGCCCTAGATCATAATAGTAGTAATCTCGGGGGACTTTACAAAACCGACAAATTTGCCAACACAGATTGGAGAATGAAACAGGTCAAACACAATAATAATAATAATAATAATAATAATAATAATAATAATAATAATACAAATAATAATAAAATAATAATAATACAATTAATAATAATAGTAATACATTTGATTTCTAAGGCGCCTTTCTCAACACTCAAGGTCGCCTTACATACAAGTAACAAAGTGCATTTTAAAAACAGTATAATTACAAGTGACAATACCGTTAAATACACAGTAAAAGCAGCATGAACAAAGGAAATGCAACGATAAGGAGTTGGAGTTGTTAAGAACCAGTTGGATGTGTTTGTGTTTTGAAAGTTAAGCACCCCAGCTTTAATGTCTCGTCTGCAGTAATGCGGTGTACAGATACTCGGTGCTGCGGCGGCAGGAAGACAGTGGGACGTCCCTGACCGAAGAGGGGGGCAGTGGGTCCTGCGCGCTGGAGGAGCAGTCGGACGAGGTGAGGACACTTTGGTTCTTCTGTGTGTTTGAAATACCCACAGCTCGTCATGTGACTTCACTCTCTGACAGGAACTGCTGAGATGATTCTGAAAGCAGCTCAGACCATTGAAGATTATCCGAAGGCTGTATTTTTGTTTCTACATTCTTGTTTATCCAATTTAATATCCCGATTTTTTTGTATCGCTTCGTCTAAACTGAAAACCGTGAGCGTGTAATATGTTTGGATGAAGTCAAATTGGGATTGGCTTTAGCACAAATGTCAGTAAGTATTTATTTCAAACTTATTATTATTATTATTATTATTTCAAACTTTTCATTCAGAATAAAATAAAACAAGCAAGATACAGAGGTTCAAATTGAAAAATAGAGTTAGAAAAGGGATTGGACGAAGGAAATGCTTGTTGGGCTCCATCCCCTCTTGCTAGCATAACACAAAGATACACACACCAACACTCACACACAAAAACACAACACAACACAACACAGGCCCGAAACACTGACCATTCACTTTCCCTTTTCCCGCTTCATCCTGAAAGCATCACACACTCACTTCTATGTACTTCTTCACCGCTTTTTTAAAACATTGTACTGAACAGAATCATATTTGATCATGTTTTAGATCATCTGAGAATGCGTTCCCAATCTCCACACACATCGGTCCTAAATTCAGCCACATATACATTTCTGCATTTGCTTCCCCTTCAAACCGTAGAGCAAACACGCAAACATGAAAGAAGAGAATCGTTTAATGCAGCCACTTATACACTTTTACTTTTACTACTGTTTATGATGTCATGCACTTTATTACCTCTTCCTATTTGTACTGTTTCATCTTCTATAAAGTCAGTATGAACAGCAGAGATATGGCCATACATTATCCATAGTTAAAACATGCCGGATCTTGAACCAGTCTCGTCCTCCTTTCTGACGTGTCCATATTTCGAGCAGCCTCTAGCATTTAGCCCCTGCTTTTGGCGTCGGAGTATTTTCCAAACATGTGCAGCTTGAGTGTTTGTGTATAAATATCTGAGGATTACTTTTACTGGAAATAAATAAGGATGTAAGACTATTCCAGTTCAACAACGTGTTATTTGTGTTGATAGTCACAAGCCTTTTGCTTACTTCCCGACGGGCAAATTTTCCTTCTATAAAGTTTTTGTTTGTTTTAGTATGTATTTTTTACATGGACACCCTGCAGGATTCAGAACTACCTGTTTAACCCAAAATATTAATCCTGAGATTGCTTAAAGAATACAAAAACCTCATTGTGTACATTCACTAGATGCAGGTTTTGAAGATGACGTTCTGCATAAGTTAATTTATTTATGTTACGTGTTCACATCCCTTGCCACAATGAATGTTCTGACCCTATTTCTCTACAATACATGTACACTGATAATGCACATACAAAGTCCGTTATTGAAAACGCTGCTATAGTGAGTTGAGATTATATGAAATGACTTGCAACTAAAAATAGTTTTAGTGTGACTGAAGCTCTCAGTGAGCTAAATCCCTTTGAAATCTATGGTAATATATTGTAGTTATCCCACTTTGAGGACTAGAGAAGACCGGCCATATATGGGACATCAAAGACTTTGCTTCAACTTGACTGATTTTACTGAACATCACCTGCTCTTGATGATCTCTTTTTAATTATGAGAAGGATATTTGTAAGAATAGTCAGTGATCACTAATCTAGCATACATCACACATACATACATGCATACATACACATCTATATACATGCATACATAAATACATATCTATATACAATACATACACACATATACACACACATACATACAGTACATGCACACATACATATCTATATACCATATCTATACAATATACACACATACCCATATACAATACATACATACATACACATCTATATACATGCATACATAAATACATATCTATATACAATACATACACACACACAGACATACTGTATACACACACATACATACCTATATACATGCATACATAAATACATATCTATATACAGTACATACACACATACTGTATACACACACATACAATACATGCACACATACATACCCATATACATGAATACATAAATACATATCTATATACAATACATACACTTATACGCACACATGCATACAATACATGCACACATACATATCTATATACCATATCTATATCACACACACACACATCCATATACAATACATACATACATGCATTTACTTAGTATGTGAAGCTAATATATGACTCATTAACAAAGTGAGATATAACGCCTATATTTGTTATACAGCTGATAATTGGCTCACTGCTTATAAAGAGTACAAATGAAACCTCTCAGAATTTGCATATTTAGAAAATGAACTGTAAACCATAAACATCAGTATCATAACAAACACAGGCTTGGCATACGTCACTTTGCATGTAACAAGTCTATTTCATAAATTGGTTCCACGAGTTGAGTTGATTACAAATGTATATGAACTTTTCAAAGATATTCTTATTTTCCGTGTTCCACCTGGTCATCAGTGATAACTGTTCAGCGGTTCTGGGAAATCGACATGAATGGTAGAAATAAAGTGCACATTTACATTTACTCTCTGCTCTTTTACATGTTGTCAAATAGCTCTGCAGTTGCCAGTAGAAGTGAGCATTTCTCTACAATGATTTTAACACAACTCTTGTGAATGCTGTACGCTGTGCCTTCATCATGTGGAAAAAGCCAAGCCTATATATTTATGCTTTTACTATAAATAACCTCTTTATAAATGACACAATGGACTTAATTGTGTCAGAAAATTCATAATATTTCTATCTTCTGCTTGATCTGTCCCTATACCCACCTCATGCATAATGCTCCTTCTGTAGTGCACAACGTCCCTCTAGTGGTGACAAGCAGTATCACAGTCAATTTAGCTGTGATATAAAAATCAGTGAAGCAAAGAGATTGAATCTCTATAAACCAGATGGACACAAGATTAAGTCTATAATCTTTAAACAATTTGTAGTAAAGAATTAAATACAATTCAGTCTGTTCTGTTTTATTATATTTCATACTTTTATATATGTGTGCTGCATGTTACCTACAAATGCACACTGACTAGAACTAGTTAAGTATACAACTAAACACATCTAACTGTGCAGCTAAACCACAAACACAAACGTAAAGTGAAAGTGAATAAATTACGTAAATGAAAATGTCCACTACCGCTGAATAGTTATGACTGATTGTTCTGTCACACCATGAAAGAAAACCATCAACACCAGCAAACACTTTGATGTCCTATATGGTTGGTTTTCTCTAGAACTGAAAGTGGGGTAACTATGTCCACATTAAGGCCTGCTTGATTTTAAAGATATTTCTCAAATATGAATGTGATTTTGTTTTGTTGGTAGGATAAGGTTTAGATTGCACGTGGAGATTTTAATAACAAGAACATTTTAGGGGGTTTAAATTAAAAGAATGTTCTCAATCTTCTTTAATAAAAATACAGTGTTATTAAAAAGTTATTACTGGACTTTTACATGAAAGCATTATCTGTCAACCCCACTCTGTCTCCAAACCTTCAAATGAGGTCAGAAATCTAGCTGTAATAATGGACTCAGACTTGAATTTCAATTCCCATCAAACAGCTACATCCATCCATCCATCCATTGTCTTCCCCTTAATCAATTTCTGTGTTGGGGGTGGCAGTCAGAGCTGCACCCAGCACACAGAGGACCAGCCCCTCACTGATCATTCTGCAGGTGTGGGTCCAGAGTCAGACCTAAACATGGGGAGGCAGCATTTCAGATGTTTGCAGCTAAAATCTGGAACAGTTTTCATGAAAATGTGAGACAGGCTTCTTCTCTGATAATGGCAAGGCAAGGCAAGTTTATTTATATAGCACAATTCATACACAAGGCAATTCAAAGTGCTGAACAAAATAAGAAAGCATTTAAATTATAAATAATCACAGAACAAAACAAAAAGATAATCCCTCAGTTGTATGCACAGCTAAACAGAACTGCCTTTAATCTGGTTTTAAACATTGTCAGAGAGGAGGCCTGTCTCACATCTTCAGGAAGACTGTTCCAGATTTTAGCAGCATGAATCTGAAAAGCAGCCTCCCCATGTTTAGTTCTGACTCTGGGCACTAACAGGAGTCCAGTCCCTGTGCTCCTCAGAGTCCGGGCTGATTCATATGGGACTAACATGTCACTAATATAGTTTGGTGCGAGGCCATGGAGAGATTTGTACACAAGCAGAGCTGTTTTAAAGTCTATTCTCTGAGCCACAGGAAGCCAGTGCAGAGATCTGAGGACTGGACTAATGTGGTCGTACTTCCTGGTTCTAGTCAGGACTCGAGCTGCTGCATTTTGAATGTACTGCAGCTGTTTTACAGCCTGTTTGGGGAGACCTGTGAGCAGGCCATTGCAGTAGTCTAACCTACTGGAGACAAATGCATGGATAAGAATCTCCAGGTCTGCTTTAGACACTCTGTTTTTGATCCTGGCAATGTTTTTTAGATGTTAAAAAGCTGCTGATGTTACTGATTTGATGTGGCTCAAAATGTAAGTCTGAGTCCAGTATTACCCCTAGATTTCTGACCTTGTTTGAAGGTTTTAGGGAGAGAGACTGTAGGTGACAGATGACGGCTCTCTCTTTGTTTCTGGGGACCAAAGACAATCATTTCAGTTTTGTCTGCGTTTAGCTGAAGGAAGTTGTTTTGCATCCACTCACTGATCTGTTGGATCAATGTTCATATCCAGGTTTGTTCATATCCAGCAGTTTTTTTTAACTGTGCATACAACTGTAGGAATGTATTTTCTTTTATTTTGAATGTTCTCTATTCATATGTACATGATATTCATATGTATGCCTTGTGTGATCTTATTCATTCTTCTCTTATTCTGGAGTGTGAACTTTTTTTTTTTTTGTATTTAGTATTTAGTATTTTAGTTACCATCGTACTGTCTTATATAATTACACTGTCTATTATCTTAAATAATAGTAAGTAAGTAAGTAAGTTTTTATTTATATACCGCCTTTTCACTGCAGATCTGAGTCTCAAAGCGGTAATAATAGACTTTGTATGATGTGTGCAATCTGAGTGCTCTTATTTCCTCCTTCTCTGCTGTAATGTGTGCAACGTTGACGCTGAAGTTTCCCCACTGTGGGATCAATAAAGGAATATCTTATCTTATCGTACTTTGTGTTACTTTTTCTGTGAAAAGCGCTCTACAAATAAAGATTGATTAATGATACAGGTATAGAGTGTAGAGTTACAGTTACAGAGGCAGCTGTTTAGAAGTCAAATTAGTTTCCGCAGATGTGGCACCTCCTCGGCACCGTCTGATCAGGGCGGCTTGTTCCGGTGGCACTGCGACCTGTGATCATGTGTTCAGAGAAAGATATGAGACTGAGGTGAAGCAGCAGGATGCAGGCGGCTGACTCAAAGGTGTGACCTCCGCTTAAGCAAACACTCTTTATTTACTTCAGTATAACGTTCCATAGCACATAGTGTGTAGACTGATTACAGCTTCATTAGTTATACTCGCCAAATATGAACAGTTGGTGAGTAGAATGTAATTATTTAGTTAAAGTGGACATATCGTGTTTTCAAATAATTAATTTTTACATCTAAATCATTAATTTGTGGCCTATGTAAAGCGTAACTGCAATGCCTGGGTCTGAGTCTCATTATTTGTAGCTCCACGGGCCTTTCTTCTACACCTGTTCTGAGGTGCGTCTGAGAGCAACCTGTTTTGGTGCTGTCTCTTTAAATGCAAATGAGGCGCTTTTGACCACGCCCCCATTCAGGTGACACAGGTTCAACTCCACCCCGTGCGGCCATTTTTGTAGTTTCTAAGCACAGATAGAATTATCTCATAGAAACTTCTCATTACATCGCAAACATGAAGCAGTCCTTCCTCATTGACTGAAAGCAAATGTTAATTTTCATTCTTAGTCCAGTCTTATTATCGACTCTTCTCTTTTTAGCTTTGGGATCCATGCGCACAGTCTATGATGCTCACAAACCGGTTTGCTTACAACAGCGGCCGCCTGGCGTGGGCCTACGTCGCAGAATATGACGCACTACGTTGACAGAAATGTTTAAATTGAATATTACTTATGCATAATTTTACAGCATTTAAAAACGTTAAGAACGTTTATCCTTCAGAAGGAAAGAGAGGCATGCGCCTCCGGAGCAGCAGGTTGCCGACTCCTGGTTTAAAGTATGTGGAAGCAAATACTGTAGAGGATCAGGATATGTGCAGTTTCAACAATAAAATAAAATGCAATAGTCTGCATTACAAGAGAGTAATAAACATTTCTCAGAGTGAGGGAGGTGGACACAGACAACACTATTGTTTGTTACAGGGATGAGAAGTGGTCAAAAAAGACTGAAATGCATATTGTCAGCCATTTGCTGGCTCTAAATCTGTTTAATTTGTTCACAACATATTACTTTTGGGCTCAGACATGAACTTTTAATGCAATGCAAAATGTAGGTATCAGAGCTTTATTTAGGGCGTTTAATCGCGCTTCGAGAGGAGAGGGGAGACGCGGACTGTTTCCTGCAGCAGTGTATTTATTGGGTGCACAGATTACTCAAAGACACGCATGGTCCTGTGCGCGTTTATGGGGTTGGGTACATGGCCACGTTGAGGCTGCGCGCTCAGCCACAACACGGTGGAGCGGCTGCGAGCGGCTGGACGCTCACAGCCTCTCGCAGCCGCTGGACGAGGAAGCTGCTCATTACAAAGCGGCCGCAGATGCCCCGGAACACTGTGGCCGCTGAGGTGACGGAATCCCGTTTGAGTACATACAGCAGGTGCCCCGCGGATACGCGCGCCCCGCTCGAACAATTCTCAACGGATTTACACTTCTCATACAGTGCCTTGCGAAAGTAATCGGCCCCCTTCAACCTTTCAACATTTTGCCACATTTCAGGCTTCAAACATAAAGATATAAAATTTTAATTTTTTGTCATGAATCAACAACAAGTGGGACACAATCGTGAAGTGGAACGACATTTATTGGATAATTTAAACTTTTTTAACAAATAAGAAACTGAAAAGTGGGGCGTGCAATATTATTCGGCCCCTTTACTTTCAGTGCAGCAAACTCACTCCAGAAGTTCAGTGAGGATCTTTGAATGATCCAATGTTGTCCTAAATGACTGATGATGATAAATAGAATGCACCTGTGTGTAATCAAGTCTCCGTATAAATGCACCTGCTCTTTGATAGTCTCAGGGTTCTGTTTAAAGCGCAGAGAGAACCATGAAGACAAAGGAACACACCAGGCAGGTCCGAGATACTGTTGTGGAGAAGTTTAAAGCCGGATTTGGATGCAAAAAGATTTCCCAAGCTTTACACATCTCAAGGAGCACTGTGCAAGCAATTATATTGAAATGGAAGGAGTATCAGACCACTGCAAATCTACCAAGACCCGGCCGTCCCTCCAAACTTTCATCTCAAACAAGGAGAAGACTGATCAAAGATGCAGCAACGAGGCCCATGATCACTCTGGATGAACTGCAGATAACTACAGCTGAGGTGGGAGAGTCTGTCCATAGGACAACAATCAGTCGTGCACTGCACAAATCTGGCCTTTATGGAAGAGTGGCAAGAAAAAAGCCATTTCTCAAAGATATCCATAAAAAGTCTCGTTTAAAGTTTGCCACAAGCCACCTGGGAGACACACCAAACATGTGGAAGAAGGTGCTCTGGTCAGACGAAACCAAAATCGAACTTTTTGGCCACAAAGCAAAACGATATGTTTGGCGTAAAAGCAACACAGCTCATCACCCTGAACACACCATCCCCACCTCAGCTGTAGTTATCTGCAGTTCATCCAGAGCAATCATGGGCCTCTTGCCTGCATCTCTGATCAGTCTTCTCCTTGTTTGCAGTGGTCTGATACTCCTTCCATTTCAATATAATTGGTTGCACAGTGCTCCTTGAGATGTGTAAAGCTTGGGAACTCTTTACCTGTCTCTTCCACGTGTTGTTGATTCATGACAAAAAATTAGAATTTTATATCTTTATGTTTGAAGCCTGAAATGTGGCGAAATGTTGAAAGGTTCAAGGGTGGCGAATACTTTCGCAAGGCACTGTAAACATGTGTTTTGTATGAGGCAGACAGACCGGCCCAAATATGGGCATCGGCCCTTTGGGCATTGCCCGGTACGCCCGATGGCCAGTCCAGCCCTGTTCGCTGGCATCCTTGAGCTTGGACCACAAATTCGAAGTGATGCACAGTAGAGGAGGGCTGGGCCGAAGTGTTTTGTTAGACGCCCATGCCCTTATATAGCAGTCCCGCTGCAAATACTGTGACGTAATAATTCTGAACACGTAATAGAGAATGGCAAAATCAGAACAGGTTGAAAAATCTTACCTAAACAGAATATGAAGTGTTCTCTGCAACCCATGAAGAGACTGATTTCAACTTGTTTGCACTTCTAGAGGCTCCAACTACACAACATAAGGCATTTAAGGCACAAAAAGTGGATTTTTCATGATATGTCCCCTTTAAACAGCCTTTATTGGAGGTTGCTACAGAGTCAATAACACCAACCTTATTAGGGGCTGCCCGCGGCCGTTTGGAATCTGACCCATATCTGTGGCACATACATTTCAATGAGGGGAAATTGGCGTCATGTGCGTTAATATTCTATATCCTAATATTCTAAGCGAGGCAGGTTCTAACTACACGTTGACACGGGTCTGCAGCTCATAGAAATGGACTCAGCTCTGATTATTGTCACACTGTTCTGGTTGAGTGAAAAGTTTTCAATCAAGGTGAAGGCATCGGGAATCTTTTGATAAGTTTAGTTACAGTGAGTTGTACTTGCTCCTTTCTGTTCCTGAATGGTGAAAAGAAGTACTATTGAAACTGGTGTAATCCGTGAGAAATCATTTTGGAACTAGAGTATCCATTCCTGCTTTATTGTGTTTGGATGTCGGTGTGGCTGAAACTTGATCAACTTGTTCATGTAAAATGGGCGTGTGCCATAGAACATCCTGTTCTATATTTGGCTTTCAAACGGGTTTTGACCATTCATATCTATTGGAATCAAGAGATACGGAGGACACCTGCTGAAAATGTCAATATAATCTGTTATATGTACTTTGGTTTTGTTTTTTCTAGTTTTGTTTGGGAGTGCACAATGAGAGGCTCAGGTAAGTCTCTTCTTTACAGAGACTGATGAAGCTTTTGACTCTTTCACATAATGCAGTGTGTAATTTTGTGAGCAGGACATGACATTGTTTGTTTTATGAAAGAAACATTTACGGCTTTAATTATTAGTTTCACATATTTCTTTTTGGATGGCGCCACAAAGTAATCATACTGTTGTTGCGCCGTATTGCAAAGTTAAAAACAAAATATATTTCAACCTTGTACATACTAATGCACTTTTGTTTCCATCTTCTTCAATCATCAACACATGCTAGGGCTGGGCGATATGGCAAAAAAGTAAAATCTCGATTTTATTTCCTGCTTTGAACGATTTCGATTTTAAATAGATTTTCATTAAAGTCACCAAAGACAAACTTTGCCCTTAAAAATAATTTTATATCTTTCTGCTCAATATTCAAGTTTCAAAACTATTTTAATTTGTTTCCCCCAATTGTTGTACAGACTGTGCTGATATTGAAAGTAAAATTCATATGCTGCTCTCACGATATCCTTCATTCGATTTCACGATTTTCCCATTTTTCACAAATTTGATTTTTTCAAAAGCCGATTAATTGCCTAAATTCGATTTATTGCCCAGCCCTAACACATGCATCCATTTTATCAAAGTGTATTACATAGTTTTATTGTGTGCGGATTGTTGCACTTTCTAATGATTGCAATAAGGACAGATATGATTTTTATGTTTCTTATGTCTTTTTTTCATAATTTTCAAGTTTATAATGGGCTTTAATGTTATAGTATTCACAGTATTTGCAGTAGTGCGGTACCTCTTCCAACATGTCTCTTCAGATCAATGAGATTTATAGTAGTGCATTTTTCAGCATAATATATTTTTTAGTTTTCTCTACACTTGACCATAGGGCTCAGGACTTGTTTTGGACCAGATCCAGGACTAAGACAGTATCCAGACTAAAATAATTCTCACACCTAACTACAGACAGAGTTGTGACTTCTGTCCTGCAGCGCCTTTTTGATGCTGCACGTCTTGTTTTGATGTAAATCTCAAAAATCGTTTAAAAAAAAAACTGTTTCAAAACGATTGGGTTCTAACAAAAAGCTCATTGACTTTTGTTTTCATCCTTTTATCTGACAGTGGTTTTGCAGATTGGTGCTTTGATTCTTGTTTTACTCATTACATGGGCAATCACCAATGACTCTTTCGATGTGCACAAAACTGCAAGGGACTTCATTGGTCGTAAGTTTTCTTATCTGGCCCATTTTTCCTCCCCAACTTTGAAAATTAACTACTTTTTTTATATTTCAGGAGTGGAAAATGTTAAAAGTAAGTCACTGTAATCTTGTGTTTGCTTGGATGCATTTTCTGAACCATCTCTTTTGTTTCAGCCACTCCAGCCCCAAAGATGAAGTGTGATTTAGAACAAGACTGCCCAGAGGGGACCTTTGCTTTGCGGATCAAAAGCGGTGCAGCTAATGTCGTCGGCCCCAAGATCTGTTTCGACGGTCAAATGTATGTTCTGATAATATTCACTTTGTAACACCCATAAGAATCGGTCTGATCAACTTTTGTTTCTCCTAGAGTCATGAGTGCTATCAACAATAATGTGGGAGCAGGAATAAACATTGTTGTGGTTAACGGTAAGGACACGATTATTTAGTTTCTTTATCTTTTACTTACAGAGAGCAGATTGGCCGAGTGAAGGCTGGGTCTCTCTTTTTCACTAAAAAGCTGAACTTTCCCCTCTGTGCGACAAATAAAGGATCTGTTAATGTTTATTTAAAGATGTAACAGAGGCTAAAAATACATGTATGTGAAAAGTACTGTTTTGAGAGCTGGTTAGAAGGATTTGTTACGTAGTTATTTTTCAGTTGCAGTAGGTAATCCGGCTTTAACCTTTTATATCCAACATTCATACTGTGACGATTTAGCCAATTAAGTCACAGGAGAGAGAGTTTCTTAGCTCAACTTGTGCCACTTACACCGCAAGATCCCGAGAAGGCAGTTTTAATAACAGATCAGATTCAGGATTCAGATTCATTTATTTGCCATTTGCAGTAAAACCACATAGGAAAAACTGTGCAAGACTACCCCAGTGTGCACCAGACGACACACACCAGAGCTCTTGCCACGGCGCCATCTTTACGGCGCCATGCGACAGATTAATATCCGACACCAAAACAGACTGAAAGCATAGGAACCGATGAATTGACATGGTGAGCTCAGTCATGGTGCAAACACTTAACAGTCAACATAACAATAAACTGAACCTTACTGTGGCACGCTACAATACTATTAATTAAGATATACAGTACAGACCAAAAGTTTGGACACACTTTCTCATTCAATGAGTTTCCTTTCTTTTCATGACTATTGACTGTAGAGTCACACCCCATCTGTGGGTGAGACCCAGGCTGGCCTCCACAGTCACCGGACCTGAACCCAATCCAGATGGTTTTGGGATGAGCTGGACCACAGAGTGAAGGGGCCAAAAAGTGCTGTGCATCTCTGGGAACTCCTTCAAGACTGTTGGAAGAACAGTCTTGATATAGGTTCTTTCAAGAACCTAGAATATAAGACATATTTCCACTTGTTTCATACTTTTTTTTTAGTACATACATAATTCCACATGAGTTAATTCATAGTTTTGATGCCTTCAGTGTGAATCTACAATTTTCATCATGAAAATAAACTCTTTGAATGAGAATGTATGTCCAAACCTTCGGTGTGTATATATATTTTGAACAACAAACAAAATACCCTGGACAACATGCGTATGTGCCGCTGGTGGAAGAGAATAACTATTTACAATTTAGAACGTTCAACACAGTGAACGGGGGCGACATTGGCTCAGTTGGTAGAGAATTTGCCTTTAAGCCTGAAGGTCGTGGGTTCCAGCCAGTGGGGGCGGGTCCCGGCTCAAAAGTGGCCAAAATGATGTGCGCTGACATGCTTGCAATACCACCCCGGGCTGATGGGGGTGGACCCAGAAGAAGAATTAGCCAATGCTAACATATAGCATCTTCTTACCTCTGGAAAACGTCTTTACAGGATGGACCAAAAGTTGGCTCATGGCCCAAAGCTCCGTTCCACATGTGTGTCAATGCTGAGGGGAGTGAATTTTTTTGGACCAGTCTAGTTTAGTCGCTGTGAATTTTTGAAGTAACTCGTTTAAATGAATGGAGCTCGTGCCGGCTGACGCATGAGCAAATGCGTTTTTTTCACATTTTCCACTCCGTGAAAGCACAATTTTTTGCCCATTAGTAAGAGCGGCGGAGATAGGCGTGACTACGTCCGTTAATATATACAGTGTAAGGTTCGAGCCCACCATGAGACCTTCTCCACCGGCTCCCACTGATGACTGCTGTCGTTGTGTCCTTGGGCGAGACACTTAACCCCACTTTGCCTGATGCCCCCGCTGAAAGATCAAGGCTATGCCATAGAGCGGCCCCCCATCCTCCTGTGGACTCACCACCTGTAGGAGGATCAGTGAGGGGCTGGTAGGACTGGGTGGCATCTCTGGCCACCCCCCGACCCAGAAATGGATTAAGAGGTAGAAAATGGATGGATGGATGGAACGTTCAACACATTTAATTTATTGGGGAAACTTTGAAAATAAGAATATAGTTTGAGAGTTCATTCATTTTAGTAATTCAGCATACAATTGAAACCAATTCAATTCATGATATAGACTCCTTGCATGAAAAGTTACATACTGTATAATGTCAAGCCTTGGTTTTGTTGTAATGTGAATGGGCCAATTATCAACATAATAATACAATTACAGGTTTTAAATATCTTCGTGTGTGTGTGTGTGTGTGTGTGTGTGTGTGTGTGTGTGTGTGTGTGGGTGTGTGTGTGTGTGACAGGAGTCTGCCATAGATTAGTTTCACATTTTCACATGCAGTTACAGAAGTGAATGGACATTTGAATGATGCTCTAATGATATTCATGATATTCTTTTCATTTTCTGGATGTAAAACAGTGGAGACCGGAAGCTGCTGCATTAGCATTGGAGAAAGTTTCACTCAATCTCATGATTATTTAAAAAGCCTTTATTGGAGGATGCTACAGATTCATAAACACTTACCTTGTGGCAGAAAAGAAATGATCAATTTGAATATACTTTGCTTTAAAGATGTGATGCCTCATAAAAAAGGTAATCAGAAATGCTCTTGAGACATTGCTAATATGGAAAGACTATTGAAGATAGAAAAGGGTGATATTTGACTGAAATAGTGACATGCAGCAGTTGAGGCATTCTTCCAGAGACCATTACTCCAGCTTCTAACAGTACATTGTGTTAGCCAATTATGTCAAAAGCATTAATGATTATTAGAAAACCCTTAGCAGTGATTTACAGCTGAAACCATTGTGCTGATCAGATATAAAAGTGAAATTTCTTAAGATAGAGTTTGGGTTTGATTCATATCTTTGTCTTATTCATTTGGATGACATCATTTCAGCAGCAGGGGAGCAGTTCTGTGAACGTTCTACCACAGCAATATTTTCCAATAAGATGGACAGCCACATTAAAGTTATGTATTTCTTTGCAGGAGAAACGGGAATCGTGGATAAACATGGATTCCTTAACACAATAGGCGGCCGTAAGTTTGACAGTTTCAATACTTATACTGTATTTTCCATGAATAAAATAAGTTAATAAGTGCATAAATGTGTGGAGAATATGTCTTTTTTTATTTTGCTAGATCTAGGCCAAATAAAAAAGGTTAAATCCAGCTTCGAAATCTGCTCCAGACCAATAGTGACTTAACAATTACAATATTCATACTCTGGCTTTACTAGTTTTTACAGGCTGGTTGTAAGTGGCTTGTCTGCCATGTTGTTCCGTGATGATGAATCTGAAAAACCAAAAAAACTCAACCTTTGATAACTTGCTTCTTCTCTGGCAGATTCGGATGCCATTTTGTCGTACCTCAAAGAGATTGAACCAGGGAGGATTGTTTTGCTCGCCTCGTTTAATGACTTGACACCAAAGTGAGTAGCTGCGATTGTGAAAGGCAAAAAAAGAAAGAGACCATTTCTATCTCAAAAACCAGTGCCTTTTATTCAGTCTCTAAATATTCTTGGCAGGATGACAGACGAAATAAGGGACGTTTTAGAAAGCATGGGGAGCACTTTGATCAAGAGCCTGAAAAGCAAAGACAACTGGGTGTTCGCCGGGAGAACAGGAGCAGCTGAAAAAAGCCCATTTGAAAAGGTTAGTGATGGCGTTGACTGCAATTCTGTCTGTTCTGTCGGGGGGTCACTAAAAGCCATCTATTTTGATATAAAGCAAAAATGGGAAAGTGTTCAGAGTGCTTTTCTTTATGTCTGCAGATATCTGTGAATGACCCCAAGACAAACAAGTATGAGAAGTGGCCCGAGGTGGTGGAGATAAGCGGGTGCATTCCAAAGACCAGCTCCTAGACTCTCACAGCATCATGTTAAAGGAGAAACCATGCAATAAACTCTAAAAAGGTGCATCAAAAGGCCATATCCCTGGACTTGTATGTGTTGAGCTGAGTCAGACGTCTGTGGCAGATCAAGTCTTGGCTTCTATGTTTATGCAATAACGGCAGGTAGAAAGGGCTCGACGTTCAACAAAGTCTGTATTGAAATGGTTGTGTTTTTATAACATCAGAACAAGACAAGGCAAGGCAAGTTTACTTGTATAGCACAGTTCATATACAAGGTAATGTCAAAGTGCTTAACAAAACAAGATAGAAACAATCACACAAGGCATTTACCCTCTCCAGACAGACGCTACAGTTTTCAACAACTTCATGTCTTATTCCCTAACTACTCCGCATGCATCATTTTGACTACCACTGCTGGACAGTTGAGCTTTAGCAACATGCAGTTTTCCACCTGCTCACCAGGGGGCGACGCTGTCTCACTTCCAAAATGTCAGTCAGCTTGGTTTCACCGAATTGATTTTCCAGGCATCAATTTCAAGTCAGTATCGCTACCAACCTCCAATAGTATGAAACCAAAACGGCATACAATGAAAGATGAATTTATATAGATACAGTGTATGCCAATTAGTAGATTATGTCTTTTCTAGAGTATTACCGCGGTCCCACAGCGAGCTAATTGCAAATCAGCAATGTCCCAGAATGCATTGCCTGTGAATGTCTCTAAAAAAAAAGTCAGGATTGTTTACCCCATATGATAAATTTTTCTGTTATTCAAATGGTTTTGTTTCTCCTGTGTGAGATCAATAAAGTCCATATTTTCTTATTGGGCCGTCATAAATGATCATTAAAAAGAGTAAAGATAAAATCCCTGAATACAACTGTTTTTAACCTGAATTTGAACAAGCCTATCCCACATTTTCAGGAAGACTGTTCCAGATTTTTTGCTGCATAAAAGTTCTGACCCTGGACACACAAAGATTGTAAAGTTTCAAATTGGGATGGAGGGGAGTTGAACAATCATAGAAGGACCGACTTGAAACATCTTGTACGTGTCAAAAGTCAGACTTGTAGTTTTAATGTATAGCTATTTTCTCTGTCCTTTCTGGCCCAAATCACATGAAACAAAACAAAATGTTCTATATTTTTATAATTACATCAACACAGTGTTTTCTCAGAAACGTGTCAAAAACTGTTGAGAATAATCCTGATGTCGGACAGTTGACACATTTGTAAATCAAATCTAATGAAGCAATGATCTGTTTGTCATGTTTCAAAAGTGCTTCTTTCTTACAGAGCAGTATTGGCACCTGCCGCAACTTGTAGAGGAAGTGAAAAAAATGAATCTAGCAAATCATTTATTTTGGGACATTTTAAGAACAAATCAGATCGCAACATGCTCTTCATCTTAAACACTATATCTTTTATAAATTGCAAAAAGTAAAATGTCAGTCTTTTGAGTCCCTTTGGGCTCAGAGATGACTGACTAAAAAAATGATTTCCCTACAATTTGTGATTTTAAAATTGTTGGTGCTTCAACATTGATGCTGTTTCAGTGGCAACATAGAATAATGTAAAGACTCAAAGTAAAATTCTCTAATAAGTACAGTTAGCAATGCTGAAGATGATTGGACACTTGGTTCTATATCCTTAAAATAATAATAATAATAATGATAAAATCAGTCAATTTTAAAATGGTTAACAAAGGTCTGGTGTAAGTTTCCTGGTTGAGGGTCTGTCACCTGTTTGTGTCTAACTGGATGTAACTGGTTCGTCTGCAGAGTTCCTATAATTATGAGAAAATCCCCTTTTTTCCTATTTGTATTTTCTATAAAGATATAATTTTCTATAAAGATTGTCTATGTTTGAATTAATGGTATACACTACTATGAAGCTATACCACAAGTTATTGCAAAACTTGAGTTGAAAATGGTTTTCCATAAAAATGTGCAATGGGAGAGAAAATCCCCCATCAAAAGTTGTCTTGTAAACATTTGCTGCTACTACACCGTAAATAAGTGTGTAAAAAATTTAAAAAAAAAAAAAAAAAAAAAAAAAAAAACCTCAAGTGCCAGAAGAGTTCATCAGAAAAGGGCAAGGTCATATGGTTACTAAAAGTGATCACAATTGTTCCTGTCTAAACTACATGATCCATTACCGAAATAAAGTTCCAATCATCGTCTTTTGTGAAAAAAAAAATAAAATAAAAATAACATAAAAGAAGTGTGTGTTTTTTCTTTTTTTTAAATCCAACTCAAAGCCCTTTTAAATTGTCCAGATTGTAAACAAAAGAAAAATACCAAAGCTATCATATTATGGCTCATTCTTAGTAACTAGCAAAATGATCAGGTCTAGAAAATCCCATGTAATTGAATAGGAACAATGAATCAAAATGTTTCAAGTTTTATATCCAGGGTATTACAGGCACTCCACAGAGAGACAGTTCCGTGATGGGATTTGGAGCTGCTCGTAGTGTGACAGGCCCTACTGGGGTCACTGCTAATCTTCCATATCCAGCGTAGTTTGGATCCACTCTTCACTTGGCACTGTCACTTCTGATTTGTCTCAATGTCTGAGTTCCACACCCTCACAGCGCCTCTGCTCCAGGGTTGGCCTCCGCCTTCTCTGCAGCTTCCTCCACATCCACTTCTGGTTCAGCAAAGAAACTCATGCCCTGGAGGTGTGGCCATTAATCCATCCATGCTGGCAGCACAGAGCACGGGTCATGTCTGATTTCATGCTGTGATCTGGGCATCAAGGTGAGTATTTGACATTTATCACAAAGTTTTTCTGTCAAAAGAAAATAGTGACACTGTTTTCGTTTTTCCCCTGTTAGCTCAAGAATTGTTCTGCTTCCAGACCTTGAGTAATTTGCACTTTCTACAACAACATATATGGACATTTATCAACACTTGGACATTGGTCATCTGCCCCTTGTGGACCAAAACCAATGTGTTTTCTATTATTGCATTTCTTGTGTTTAACTGTTTGATTCTCTGATCTGTATTGGAGAAATCAACGGTCGTATTAAGTCCTCTGAGACACTAACTTCTGTTGTGATTTAGGGCTATACAAGAAAAAATAGAATTGAATCATTACTAAAGTATTCACAAAAGGATACAGTCGTATCGGAAATTAATATCGAGACCTCAATGAAATGTAAAATGTATTAACTTAACTTATTTATAATTGAGGGGCTGGTGCTATGTGGACTGGGTGCAGCTCTGACTGCCACCCCCCTCGACCCAGAAATGGATTAAGGGGAAGAAAATGGATGGATATTTATAATTGTTAATTTGTTCATCCTGAAAATCTTCATGTATCAACATTTTCAAAAAACAAAGCAGTGGCTGCTTTAGTGAAGTAAAGTAGAATGTGATTTGCTTCTTCTCATTTGAGACATTTTTTCAAGGACAGGAAGGAATGGTTCGTGGGCCACACTTAGCTTACGGGTGATAGTTTGGACATTTCTGCCAATCAATCAATACAATTGTATTTATTGACCCAGAGGAGACACGAAGCCGAGGCCCCAGGCCCCACCAGGTCCAAGAGCCAGACCCCAGGACCCAGAGGAGACATGAAGCGAGGACCCAGGCCCCCACCAGGTCCAAGAGCCAGACCCCAGGACCCAGAGGAGACATGAAGCCGAGGACCCAGGCCCCCACCAGGTCCAATAGCCAGACCCCAGGACCCAGAGGAGACATGAAGCCGAGGCCCCAGGCCCCACCAGGTCCAAGAGCCAGACCCCAGGACCCAGAGGAGACATGAAGCGAGGACCCAGGCCCCCACCAGGTCCAAGAGCCAGACCCCAGGACCCAGAGGAGACATGAAGCCGAGGACCCAGGCCCCCACCAGGTCCAGGAGCAAGACCCCCACAGCCATACCCAAACACTGCTCCCAGGGCTGAGGGCTCCTCCAGAGGAAACACTGGGGATAAAACAATACAATAAAAAAGTAAAACATGGATCCACTTTCTTGATGATAAAACATAAAGAATGTTGCTGAAGTGAAATCCAAACAATACTTGTTGGATGAACTAATAGATATGTGTGTAAGAAAAATATTCCACAAAGGAAAGTTTTCAATCACTTCAGATTCCACGTGAGCTTCAGAGTAGCACGTGAGATATGGAAGGAAACAGGAAAACAAGTCAAACACAACTACTTTGATTTTCAGGATTCATATCTTATCTGGCTTCTTAAGAAAAAAACAGCTGCTTTGTGGAGAAATGAACGGCTCAGCAGTTTAGACTCTGCCCTTCATGGTAGTTATGTTTTTCTAAATAAATACTATTGAATGTTAACTAAATAAATGTGAGATCATCACACTATTTTCTTCACTCGTCATACCTGTAGCTCAACCTAAAAATAAAATATGCATACAATGTGGCAATAACACTTGTTTTGTGTGACTGAGCACTTTCACTCGAGCTTGATAGATATTGTTATTAAACAAAACAAATAGTCAAGAAATAATGTACCGAAATCTGACAAAACATTTTTGACAGTAGTTCAATATTCTGCCAGCAGAGGGCGCGAGAGACAGCCTTTTAAATAAATACATCACATAAAAGATGAATACTCGGTCATAAGTATTCATCTTAAAGCCTCACATACATAACTGTGAGTGTGAGTGCATCACCACAGACCTGACTCGTACCTTGTAACCCTAACCTGTGTGTTTCCATAGAAACGCTGTGCCCTTGGTAATAATACTCCACAACATGACATTAAACTCGTTAGTCTTCATGGACAAGGATCTGTACAAAGGATCTTTTTAATTTGAACTTTAATTTTAACAAAAGCTAAACAACGATTTAACTTATGGAAATAGTCTGAACTAAACATGTGACCAAGATCTCAAAGTAAATTGTCAGCTTTGTCTTTCCATGTAACTCTCTTTTCACAATCAAGTCAAGCTCTATTAATTCGTATACTTTTCCTAATGCAGAACATGACACAAAGACTGGACAGGCAGTGCATAGACAAGGATGTTTTATTTTTATTAATTCCTGCTTTTGTTTTGTTTCTTTTTTTTCTGTGGGTACAAATCATCATTTTTTACACCTTGTTCAATATCCCATGATGCATTGCATCCATACATTTGTAGCTCAAAACAGTCTTTACAAAAAAAGATATACAATATGTACTTATATATATAATATACATGTGTTTATGCGTTTGTATGTTAGTTATGGGAAACGTAAGCTCTATAAATCCAAGGTAAGGTGAACAAAAAGTCATTATCATTGAAAAGATGGGGCCAGTATGAAAGTCTGAACACTGGCTCCTCAAAGTTATCGAGCCCTTCACACTGTTTGCATATTTTACAGTCAGAGATCCCCGAGAGATTCCCTTTGATTTCACTACAATGGAGCTGTATTTTCATGTGACCATCTTACAAATTTGAAAGTGGAGCCTAACCCACAGCTAGCTACAATCTTTATATTATGATATGATGTATTTCAGCATCTGTCAGGGGCTAGACCAGCATCTTTTTTCAAGTAAGTAAAATGACTTATGGCATCATTAAAATGTTCAAATTAATAATATTTCTTTCTGGGCTAAAGTGTCATTGGGGGATATTCATAGTAGATGTGTGCGTCTGCAGAAAACACAGGCTGTGACTTGACATACTTTTGTCCACTGTGCTGTGTTGTACTTGTCAACAACGTTACTTCAGGTGTTACTCACTTCACATTATATAGTTCAAAATTACAATATTACAGATGTTTATTTTCTTCAATACAACAGAGTAATAATAATCTTGTGAGTTATAATTGAGCATCATTAATGTAAAAAATATTCACCAGGTCATGCAGACATTAGACCAAAACGTCATCCACTAGAAGTGCACAGAGCAGGGGAAAGCCCAGACTGAGATCCGGCAGACCAACCACAGACTGCGCTGGTCCTGTAACTGTATTTACCTGTGACATATGGCAGTATTCTTTTGAGGATCTCAGTTTGAGCCCCAGACAATAAAACAGTCATAGAACAAAAAAAAAAAACGATTTAGATTTAGATTTTCTACTGTGTCTTTCCCGTCATGAGCATGCAGACACTTTGAGACAAAACCCATCATCGTGATCCCAGTCTGAGCCAGAAAACGCAGCCTACAAGCCCCAAGATAGGATCACCTGGCCACAGCGCTTTGAACCTAAAAATATATCTTATGCAACCGCCGGAGGGAGAAATGCTTATAACAGGTCATCTGTGGGCTGGCAGTTACTAAAAAGTCAATAATAATAAAACGTATCTCAAGCTTCATACTTTCTGCTTCCAAAAACACTGGAAGAATATCCCAGCACAACAACCAGTCTATGAAAACCTTAGTAAAAAATAGAATTAATTTAACAGCTATAGGTTGTGATTCACGTTTATCTTCACATTGATTCAAAAGAACATTTTAAAAACACACTCCAACATTAATCTGGTTAGATATTTATATGACAATAGCTACATCATAAAATTAGTCGTGAACCCTAGCGTAAACCTGGTCATCCTGGTCTTAAGGCTTTAGCGAAGTTTTGAAGCTGCATTCAGTCGTTTTAAAATAATAACAATATTTCTAGCAGACAAGACAAAAGTACCATTATCAGGTCTATTCTATGAGTGTGCAAAGGGGTTCAAAAAATGTTTAACAATTCGGTAATGTCATATGTATAGGGTAATGTAATTGTAATGTAAAATGTGCTTGATAATGTCACTGTGATGTAACATGTATTTGTCCAACCGTTTATGAACGTATCATTTGTTAACGTTGCTGTTTGTAATTATTCTCGAATCTCAAGACCGGTCTAGCGTTTGGGAATCTTTGCGCAGCACCAAATTGATGGCGTTTTGGGCACTGTGGCTCAGAAGCCATATGCTGCTGCAAAGAATCTGGCCCTCTGGATTAGAACATGTAATTGAAAAGCCCTGGAGTGGAAGTGGGATTGTCCACAACAAAAATAAAAATAACAGACACCGATATAAAACTAGATTCGCAGCTGGGGCAAGAAATGATACTAACAAAGCAGGACCAACAAGACAAAAGCGTGTAGTGCTGGGGTACCATAACTATCATAAAGAGACTATTACTTTCGGTTTGTCTAATCTACAGAACGACTGTTGCAAATGTAAAATGTTGGGAACAAACCAGACCACAACTTGCTGTTTTAAACTTATTACAACGACAAAAAACATGTGCATACTTGAAAGAAACAGCCCTGAGAGTCACTATTTGACTCTTTGGGGCTGAGAGCTTTGAGGGTGGTCCTGTCCTTTTCCCTTTTCAGTCTGAAAAGGGTTAGGGTTAGGGTTATGCCAACATTTGAAAAATAGAGACTGTTTTGATAGCAAGGAAATATAGTCAGAAGTTTTTTAATTACATACTGTAGCTAATTTTTTTGCGGTTTGAAAGTTAGGTACCCCAGCTTTAACCATTTCCGATATGGAATATGGAGTGAATAGTAGCTGAAGACACGTGCAGACGGAGCCCTGTGTGACAACCTTGGCGATCCAGAAGAATAAGTGTCATTGTGCCGTTGTGATATGTTTAGCTCTTACATAAGCGTCCACTGAAGCTGACGGACACATGGCGATGACTACGCTGCTTTCAGACTGGATCAGACTGGGATCCGGGCTCTGTTACTGCGGCGACAGGGCTCAGACCCGACTGGTCGACCTGCAGCAGTAAGTGCAGCTCCTGAGACTGTCCCGGTCCACACTGCCCTCCGTGCTCCCTCGCCGGCCGTCCTCAAAGTGGGACACTGAGGACGGAAGAACACAGGCTTCTTCAGACTTCTAAAAGGAAAATGTGAAACGGCATGATTAATACACTCCTACAGAACAATAAATATGCCTGAGGATTAAAAACACAGATGGTCTGAAAAAATAAACCAAAGCTTTCTGTATTCCTTGTTTTCTATTTTTAACTATAATCAATCTGAAATATTGTTGTGAAATTAACAGCAGACATAGGCAACAAATAGGCATAAAGAAGACTTATTCTCTATAATGCTAATTAGAGTGACTTAATGTTGGTCCAAAGCAAGAAGCGGCCTTCCTAACTTCTTCTTCTCAGGTAACCACCGAGCAAAACAGAGGAATACACATATCTGGGACTTGACATCTCTGCTGACTTGTCTGATGACAGAGACATTTACAGAGTGTGTTGAATGCTCTTTGAAAAGCCTATATGCTGGTTCGGATGTTTGGACTGTGTTCACCAGGAGTAGAGACTTAACTTTTTAAAGCCTACTGTAACCGTATGTACACTGAGCATTTGTAAACCATAAAAAGACTGAATGTGATCTATAAAGATGGAGTGATGCTGGAGCAGCACGAGCCAAATGTTTGTGGATGTCCCAGCTGTCCTGCACTCATGCACGGCTGCCTGTGCAGACACATGTACAGCCTTTATCGGGTCAGATCTGTCTTTTGTTTTATTCTCTCACTTCTCTTTGAATGTCAATTGTGTTCCATGCAAAGCTTAATTCAAATATATATACTTTCAAAGAAAATGTATTATTATTACAGGGGATAAATACTGAGATTGAACCCTCCATTAATTGTTGAAAAATAAGAATGTTTCTTGGTTGTTGTGCAGCGTGGCGCTCACTCACAGCTCTCCTCTTCTGCGTTGCCAGGCTCCTCCTCCTCTTCCTCCTCCGGGAGCAAGTGTCCGTGGCAGGGGCTGGTGGGAGTGATCTGACTGGGGCCCTCCACACTCGTGCCCAGCTGCAGCCTCCGCATATGGCGCACAACAGCTGTGGCATTAAACGCTTGCTGTAAAGCAGAATGAAGGAGGGAGTGAGCAGCGACTAAAGAGCTGCGAGGACAAAACGGTTCAGCAGAGTCAGCGCTGCAGCCCCTCACCTTCCATTTACTTTTGGCAAAGTTCTTTTTGATCTGAGCGCTGACAGACTCGTGGATATTCTTGTCCAGGGCGGTGTCTCCACAAATCCTGTAAAATCAGTCTTATCAGTATCTTCTCTAAACAACTAGGCTTTATTAAAACACATCACTGCAACAAATACAAGGAAGTATAATAATGTTATCCCTGTGCAAATACATATGTAGTAAATGCAACTATTGATGTTATAAATGGTCCAGTGCTGTTAATATTGTCTGCAGAATGTTTTCATGTTAGGGAAACAGAAATGCTAATGTGGAAAGCTCCTGCTGAAAACTAGCCTTGAGCTAATTATGTTATATTTACAGCAGCAGCGGCTCATTAACACTATACTCCATTTAAAGGAAACAGTACATACAAAAAGTCGCTCTAAACACATTGAAGCAAGAGGATGAGTAAGAAGAAGGGACAGAAAGGGCGTGGACTCGGTTGGAAGTTTGTTACATTGTAAATATCTGTGTTTTGTGGGGACATAAACATGCCATACCATGGATGCTGAAGCGCCTGCTCACATGTGTATCTCTTCATCGGATCCTTTTCCATCATGTGACAGATGAAGTCTTTGGCTGAAAATAAAGTGAACGTAACATAAAAACAAACTGAAACAAGGGTGAATATAAAAGTCAGAAGTTGTGCCGTACAAGAATCTGAGATGTCGTCCCAGTATGGAGAGTCAAATTCATACTCGGCTTTTAAAATCTGCTCAAACAGCTTTGCATCATTTTCATCATAAAAAGGAGGATATCCACATAATCTGTAAGACAAAACAAGTGTTTTTTAACCCACAACATCCTTTCTCAAACTAGAGCACAATTGATATTTATTCTGCAACATCACCTGAACTAATTACCCACATTCACAATTAAATCATAAAAATACATACTATATGTAAATCACGCTTTTCATAAGACCCAAAGATGCTTTACATGCTATTATTTGTATTATTATATACTCTGCAGTGGTAAAGTTCTGCTGCCACCGCCTTCTCCAACCACCACCACACAGTCACGCACACTCCAGACTCATACTTGGCAATGTGGGTGAAGTGTCTTGCCTAAAGACACAAAGACAGCTTCGCACTTTAAAGCTGCAGCTGTTCCACAGTGGTGTTCCCAGAGGTCTCCCATCACAGCAGACAACCAGGCCCTGGGATGGGGGACCTTATCTTCTGAGATCTGCTGGGATCAGGCTTTCACATACACACAATATAAATTATATTTCACCTGAATTTTCTTTATACCATCATTTTGTCAGTTTACTCTTGTTGTTGGGTTATTTATCTATTTGGGTCAGTTTCATGGGGACCGTGGTGTGTGTAAATGTAGGTGGTGTCTGTGTAAAGCAAGTGAACCCTGGTCCCAAGACAAATGTTTCTTATCTTATCATAACAACTCTGTGATAAGATTTTGTGATTTTGTGACTTTTGCTGTAGATATCCATTGTTATCGTGAATGCATGAGTTCAATGGAAAAGGGGCTTGAATGTATTATGCCTGTATGTAATGTGACCTGATACTTACAAAATATAAGAAATGACTCCTATGGACCAACAATCCACGGCTTTACTGTATGGCTTCTGGGCGAGGACTTCGGGGGCTGGAAGACAAGCGGTTTGAAGTCACATTAACCTTTGTTCAATGTAATGTGATATACAGTTCACTTCCACAGTGGAGCACACTCACAGACACTTGTAATAGCCTCATAGTGGATAAAAGAGCCTCTCATAATAGAGCGTGAGAGGATTGGCGAAAGCTGAGCTCCCACAAAAAGGGGAACGACAGAGAGACGTGAGCTGAATGACACAAATGAATGTAGAACCTGGTGGTTCTCAAACTGTGGTGGTGCGTGGTTCGATTCTAGTTCATATGATTTACTGTACATCCCTATTTTAGACAAAACCTTAGCTTGAGTTTTAAGCTAAGGTTTAAGTGTTGCCATGTGTAAATGGATTTTTAGATTTTTAACTGACAGATCTCAGAGAGTGGAAATCAATGACTGTTTTTCTGATGTTGCTTCTGTGAGCACTGGTTCTCCTCAGGAATGTATTTTGAGTCCTTTGCTTTTTACTTTGTACACTCACGATTGTGTGTCCTCCGCTGACTCAAACTTGATCATCAAATATGCTGATGACACCACCATCATCGGTCTCATCAGTGACAATGATGAATCCTCTTATAGAGCAGAGATACAAAATGTGGTTCAGTGGAGTAAAACTAACAACCTCCAGTTGAACGCATCCAAAACATGTGAACTGGTCTACGACTTCGTCAGCGTCTCTACTTTCTGCGTAAACTTAGAGAATTTACCACTAACTCTAAGATTCTGCTTAACTTTTATTGCTGCACCATTGAGAGTTTACTTGTTGGTTCTGTGTCTGTGTGGTTTGGAAACATCACAGATAAAGAAAAGAGAGCTTTAAACAAGGTGCTCCGTGGGCTGTGAGCTTCCTGTTCTGGAGGTTCTTTATAAATCCAGACTTTTAAACAAAGCTCTTAGGATTGTTAAGGACTCTTCTGGCCAGCCTGGGAAAGCCATGTTCCAGCTTCTTCCCTCTGGCAGAAGATATCGCTCTCTGAGATGCAGGACATCTCGTTACGCTAACAGTTTTTATCCACAAGCTGTTATCAGTGTGAACAGAGCACTTAATGATTTTCACTTGTTTTGAAACTGTTTTAGTCGATCGATTTCACAGTGACATTTGTTTTATTCTATTTTATTTGTTTTATTTCTGTCTTTTAATGTTGTTTTATGTCTGTATTTGTCTGTGCACACTGGAGACTTTTGCTAATGTATTCCAATGTGGTGTTTTTACTGCAAATGGCAAATAAACTGAATCTGAATCTGAGTTTAGACTTGTGTTTGTGTAATCATTCAGAATCTCCAGAATTTGGCCAAAACAATGACAATCTCTGCCTGGATGTTTACAATTTCAAACACAACCAAACTATAAGACATGGGACAATCTAGTTTTGCTAACGTTGAAAATTTGAGATTCGCTTCCTTATTATGCTAAAGCTAGAGAATTTATACTTGCTTCTTTATTATTATTTATTGTTTTTTTTACATTAGTTATTGCTCATTTATCTTGTGTTGTGTGCTCCACATTCCGACTGTTCTGTACTTGGTGATGCAACACTGACATTTCCCCACTGTGAGACGACTGAAGGGTTTTTTAATCTTACCTGGATCATACTGTACATGGACAGTTATCACAATCATCATCATAATTGTTCTACATTGTTCTAATTGTTCTTCTCTTTTTGGCTCTTGTCTCGTGTGTGTCTTGGTCTTGTCTTGTCTGTTGCCTTTGTATTGAATGTGTGTGTGTGTGTGTGTGTGTGTGTGTGTGTGTGTGTCCTATCGCTGTTATGTGTTTTGTTGGAGGGTATATTTTTTATTTTTTGTATTGTATCGTAGTATGTGTTTGAATGGCACGGAGGGGATTGGATTCGCATGGCGCCGTAAAGATGGCGCCGTGGCAAGAACTCTGGTGTGTGTCGTCTGGTGCACACTGGGGTAGTCTTGCACAGTTTTTCCAATGTGGTTTTACTGCAAATGGCAAATAAATGAATCTGAATCTGAATCTGGATTAAAATAAATTTTTGCTTCGACCAATTCCTTTACAAACCATGCACAGGTTTTCTTGTTTACTCTAATTATCATTTAATTGTCTGTATATCTCATGCATGTTTCCACACTTTAGATAAGTATAGCGATGTTTCATTTTATTATATGACTTGGATCGTACGCGCGCTCTGATTGGTTGATTTGCGGTCTGATATTTTCCCATCTCGGACCGTTACCATGACAATTTGTCCGCAGCGCGTATCACATTTGATATCTTTCCTCGGTAAAAAAAGAATGAGAGACGATTTCGAAGAGCCAGAAGAAGTAATAACAGCAAATAACGACGAAAACACAACTCCTAACAGTCAAGAAGAGATTGACAACTTTGTTACGGATCAGAAAGCTAAAAACACGATTAGGAAAACCAAGTTGGAGATCGATCTTTGCATAAATTAAAAATAGTCATATAATAAAACATGTATTAACCTTGCGCTCGTTTAATAAGCCGTTAGTACTCACCCACATAACCAGGAGTCCCACAGGCCGTAGACATGACGCTGCCTGACCCTTCGATCTTGGACAGACCAAAGTCACTGATCATGATCTTGGAGTCCTCATCCATACTGTAGTACAGCAGGTTCTCTGGCTGTTGGGCATAGAGCAAAGAGCAGATATTTTTACTCACTAATGGGAGTGGAATCAGAGCCAAACCACATTACCTTTAGGTCTCTGTGGACGATCCCCATATCGTGGAGGTATTTGACAGCGTCCAGTATTTGCTGGATGAGCTGGCTGGCGTCTCTCTCCGTGTAAAAGCCTTTCTCCACAATGCGGTCGAAGAGCTCGCCCCCGGACACGCTGTCACACAAACACTGTTTACTGACACAACAGCAGCAGCTCTGGGGTTCCACATCTCTTCAGCAATGCTCACATTCTCTGTGAAGTCACTGCCAAATTATGGGACGGTTTTGACACCTGCTTTTAGAAAGGATCATGGAGATAAGAGAATAAGGGATATAGAATTTTGAACTGATATGTTACCATGGACAGTTGTGATTTTAACTATTCATTTGAAAACAATGACGTATAATGTATTTTGTAAGTCAATTTGTGGATGTGTATTCAGAAACTGTAAATTAATGATCTATCACAGAAAAAACCTGCTCATTAAATTGAGATTTTATGGATAACTGATACTATAATGATAGTATAGTATTTTTTTAGTAGCCAAAATGTAGCTTCCCCTATAGCCACAAGGCAGCGCTGTGGGCCTTATGTGACCTGTGTCCATTCTCCTAAGAAAGGGCAGAACTTGAGGCACTGGTGCTGCTAGGTTTGGAGGTAAACTGTTTATTACTGTGTCCATAAAGTGGAATTGTTAATTATTATTAATTATTGCGGATTACTGGTCGGGCAAGGTGAAAAACCTTGAATACAACATTGGACTGTGGTTTGTAGAGACAGGCGTTGGGGAAACCCTTAAAGCAGCCCGGAGGTTTGCCTCTACAAGCTTCATATTGAATTTATTTATTTCTATATTTAAATGTTATTATTAAATAATTGTGACACAAACAAAACAATACAATATGTCGGAAAGTTGTGTCTCTGGATAAATTAAATCATGAGCGTTTGCACTTACAGCTGCATGACTAGATACAGATGTGATGAACTTTCAAAGATGTCTTCCAGCGTCACGATGTTAGGATGCTTGATTCTGTGGATAAAAACACCACAATTATTGCGATTAGAAATAAATAACACAACAACTAGCAAAGTAATCCAAGGAAAAAAGATCATTGTTTGCACGTAATAGAAAGCACAAGTTAGAAATAGAAATGAATCCAATCAAATTCAAAACAACAAAATATAATTACATTACAAATTATTCTTGTTTAGCCCTAAATCACAGTAGTCATCTCAGAGGACTTAACAAAACCATTGAAATCACCAACACAGATCAGAGAACACAAAAAAGAATATAGAACACATTGATAAATGTCCATACATGTTGTGGAATGTTTAACTGTCCTGGATCAAGGAAAAAACCCACAAAAACCCAGTGGGAAAATAGTGAGAAATCTCGGGGAGACCCAGATATTGAGAGAGGGAATCACTCCACACGGACGGACGGGCTGTAGATCCAGGACCTAAGCTACAGAACGTGGACAGGTCTGATGCAGGAAATTCAATGTAATAAATAAATATGATAAATACAATGCAGTAAGAAATAAAAAAACACTAATAAAAAACAAAAACTAACCTGACTAAAGTTTAATGTAGAATATAACAACCAAAGAGAGGTTTATGCTCAGTGTTATTTTTAATGTGGAAGTCTTTACTTTCTTTGGTTAAAAAAATAAATAAAACACATTAAAAACACATTGTAATTGTGAACTGATTTGAGTTACCATATTCAAGAATTAAAGTAGAAGTAATATAGTATGTATTCTCACTAGCATCCTTATTATCATTAACAAGATGTGATTGCAACATTTTAAAATACTAATTACGGGTGGGAGTATATAAGTATTTCATCTCTTCTTTTGCTCCATTTTGTGCACAACACGCCTGATATACTTGTAAATGGAACAAAAAGCATCATATTTTTGCCCAAATAAAGTCCTCCAAAGTTGCTCCTTTCTTTGAGTTACTTTTGGACATGTCATTGATATTCCTTTCCGGTACTAAAAGGGTAACTCAAAACACATACTTAATTTGCGATGACAGTGCGTGACCCACATTTGTGCTCAAGATCTGGTGAGACAAGCAGCATCTTTCTGGCCTCGGCGGTGGTGCGAACATACGAGTCTGTCGCTGTAACGCCGCAGATGAGCAGCCAATGTGCTACGAGCCGCTGTGACTTTTCTCTGCCATTTGACTGCGTTCTTATTCTCCTCCATCTTTACACAAAACATTCGATTAGTGGTGATCCAGGACTCTTGACATAAGATAAGATATTCCTTTATTCGTCCCACAGCGGGGAAGTTTCAGTGTCATCGTTGCGCACGTTACAGCAGAGAAAGCAGGAAGTAAGAGCACACAAGAGCATAAGATAATAGACAATAGAGTTTTAATAATAAATATATGATGGTACAATGGAATAAAATAAAATAAACTCTGGAGCTATAACTGCACTTGGTTCAGAAGTATTTAAAGATGTGTATATTGTACTTTAGCAGCGGATAATATGAGCAGAATAAACAATAGTAACAATATCAGTTGTAAATTTATGAGTGAATGACAGAAAGATCAGATGGATGGATAAGTAATAATGTAGTAATAACAGGTTAGTGACTAGTGACTTTAGATGACGTTTATGGACTTCATCAACGTTTATGGACAGTGGTCATCTGTCCCTTCTGAACCATTGGCTCTTTTCTAGTCCAGTTTTGTCATGGACTAGAAAACTACTGTTTTGATTTCGGGCTATGTTAGAATACAGTACAGACCAAAAGTTTGGACACACTTTCTCATCCAATGAGTGTCCTTCCTTTTTATGACTATTGACTGTAGATTCACACCAGGCTGTGTAAGGGCTATTTGACCAATAAGGAGAGTGATGGTGCTGGGCCAGATGACCTGGCCTCCAGTCACCGGACCTGAACACAATCCTGATGGTTTTGGGCTGAGCTGGACCACAGAGTGAAGGCGAAAGGGCTGAGCCTCTCTGAGAACTCCTTCAAGACTGTTGAAGCTCATCAAGAGAATGCCAAGAGTGTGTGAAGCAATAATCAGAGCAAAAGGTGCTACTTTGAAGAACCCAGAATATAACACATAATTTCAGTTTTTTTGTATACTTTGTTTTTTAGTACGCACATAATTCCACATGAGTTTGTTGATAGTTTTGATGCCTTCAGTGTGAATCTACAATTTTCATAATCATAAAAATAGAAAAACTCTTTGAATGAGAAGGTGTGTCTGTAATGTACATTGAATTGAGTTGAACTATTAAGCACTATCTGAGGTTTCTGTGAGGACTATTTTGATTTCAAACTAAGGGTAAGGTATCTGATTCAGAACCAGAAATATTGTATTGCCATTGTAAGTAACAAGACGCCACAATCTGAATTTGCTTTGGCTTATGGTGCAAACAAGTAAACAAATTAAATATATATATACTGTATATATAAAAGGCATGCATATACAATCTTCATAAAAATGTTTTCTTAAAATGATGCCTTAATACAAGTGCACACTAAGCACACATAACACAGACATTGAGGTGGCTGTAATGTGAGGGGCAGGGGTCAGTGATGAGTTATGGTCAAGATCACCGCTACATTTCAGTTGTTTCATAAATGATTGTCCTGTTTGCTGCTTTGAAATGTAAAATATAGAAGAAACATTTAAAAGGCAATCTACCCTTTAATCAAAAACTATCCAGGCATCTTGTTGTCAATGCTTGGGGTGATTGTGCTGCTCTGATAGCTCTGATGTGTATCCATGCATGCGTCTTAGTCCTAAGTTAACTTCTACCCAAAAAAAATAAAAAAATAAACCCGGTTCATGGAGATGTGGAATCCTTTTGGCACGGCCCCTTGTCATCATTTTCATTTACAGAGAAAATCCAGCACATTTCTATACTTAAGACTATATGAACTAAAAAAACGAACTTCTTTATTATTATTATGCTCAAGATATAGATTTTATACTTGTTCTTTGATGCTAGAGTTAGAGATTTTCATTTATTTTAGTACAGTATATACAGAAGTAGCTATTGGTCACTTATCTTGTGCTGTGTGCTCCTCATTCCTACTGTTCTATAACTTGTGATGCAACACTGAAAATTCACCACTGCAGGACAAATAAAGGATCTCTTATTATCTAAATCTTAAAAAAACTAATGGGCAACTATAATGGGCAATATGAACAAAGCAAATGACCTTGTTCCATACTCAATTGTAATGAAATGTGCTTATTTACTCGATTGAATACTTTGTGTGCAGTTATTAACAGATCACAGGCCGAAGGGGCCTCACTCACACATGGTTATGCCACACATGGTAATGCCACACATAGTAACGTCAAATCAAGCTTTGGGGGTTTACAGTAAGTAAGCGCAGAAGTGGGTCATGTTGAAGGAACATCATGATTATACATGAGGCCTCTACACGCCATAGTCAATAGTGTCAGAACTTAATCCATGTACGTGTATAGAAAACTGGAACACTTCTGATGAGACCAGTACTATTTCCACCACAGCCCGACCATGTGGTCCTGCTCTAGTTCTGATAACAAAAATGGTGAGCATATTATTTTTTATTTTTTTAGATTACTTCAGGCACACAATGAAAAAGTGTAAATCATGTACAACAACAATAACACACCAACAAAGCAGTGGTCATAAAAACACTGTTAGTGGAATAAAGAATATTCATAGTTGCTTAAAAAGGAGTGGGGTGAAGTTGAACACTTATTGATTCCCACCCTCTTTTTCATCTGGGGGGGGGGGGATTGTTATACTTACATGCTTTTAATGATTCCTTCCTAAATGAATGTTTAAATAAGTGTAAACCGTATTCAAACTAGTATATAAGATTCTTTTTGGTACCCCCTCCCCCCTTTCCTCCACTGTCCATTGTCCCGTCCTCTCGTCTCCAGCCGAGCATCTTCGCTCTCTCCAGTTCACTGGGAAACTCCACTTCTGCATCTCCAGCTTCTGTGTGCTGTTGCCGTGGCGACAGGGCCACTAAAAATAGGTCTATCTTCCTTTACTCCTGACATTTCCGGTGCACAATCCCTCTGTTTCAACTGACACCATGCATTTAGTCACCACTTCCCACTGACCCCGCTGATGCATGGGACTGCACGCTAACGTAAGCTAATGCATGTTCAAAATGAATAGCCACGCTTCCAACTGAGTTATACGACTTACATCAGAACAGCGTGTTTCTGCCTAAAAAAGATATTGTAAAGAACCACTCCACACTGTCTGCAGATTATCTTTCTAAATCAAAAACCGTGAATGTGGATAAAACATGTGACGGCTACATAGACTTCTGGGGGTTAATCCAGCAGCAGTTTCCTCATCGTGCAAAAGGCAGAGGTTCTTCATCACAGCCTCTTGTAGATCTTCAGAGATTTGAATCCTCACCAAACTAAAGATGTACGCTTTATTGAGAACTTCTGTTGTACATGTGTGGCTGTATTAAACTCTTGCTTTTAGATAATCAGGCGAGACGCATGCTTGCAGATCCAACAGATTTTCTTTGCCCTCTCTTCCACCCACGATTCAGGTATTTTTCCGCTGATTTCCCCCCTCCTGAAGCAAATACTACAAAATATTGTTTGATAAGTCCTAAAATAAGTACACCTTATCTGCTGCTAGATCCGTCGTGTTGTGTCCTGTCTCGGCCAGTGCTATGTCAATCTCTTCAAATCATTTTTTGCCAATTTTTATCAACGGCCTGAGCGATATCTTCCCATAGAGTACACATATCCGCTGTAGCCTGGTTCAGTTCCGCCTAAAATGCCGCACACGGGTTCGCCGTTGCCTCCACCGAGATCAACCTATTAGCAACTGCTGCTTGCACCAGGGCTATTTTCTGAGCTCTGGTTGTCGAGCGATTTCAGCTTCAGGTTTGGCTTCTTCATTTAAATGTTTTCTATGCAATTATCATTCATAATCAAACGCTTGCTTTGTTGGTTGACACATTACCGGCACACATTGGCGGCACGGTGGCTGAGTGGATAGCACTCTCGCCTCTCAGCAAGAAGGTCCTGGGTTCGGTTCGGACCAGGGCCTTTCTGAGTGGAGTTTGCATGTTCTCCCCGTGTCTGCGTAGGTTTCCTCCGGGTACTCCGGTTTCCCCTACCACTAAAAATATGTCCAATAGTTCTAGCATGCGCCTTCTGTACTGGCGACCCTGCTCCCATCTCTGTGTGGAGTGTGAGACAATTGCCCAAAATTAACAATTGTAAACCGCTTTGAGACTCAGATCTGCAGTGAAAAGGCGGTATATAAATAAAGATTACTTACTACCCGCTCAAATGCAAAAACTAGCCGTCTACCAGCGCCCTGTAAATATCATTAACGTGTCTTGTTTTTGGTGTGATCGAGACGTGTGAACCTTGGACCCGTCTTACCTGTGCAGCACTGCAATCTCATTCTCAATGTTGTTCTCTTTTCCTTCTAGAGCCTTCTTAGGGATGCATTTAATCGCTACGAGTCTTTGGGTACACTTCTCCTCAGCCAGCACCACTTCAGAAAAAGCTCCTCTGAAATGACAGAGAAAGAACAGTTTGTAAAGATAACTCAAATCTCCTCACATCAGACGGAGAAATAACAATTAAAACTATATAGAAAAGTCAGTGGAAAAACCTGAAAAAGCAGGTCTGTCAAGTATTTTCTGGAGATTCATGTTATTAAAACTATAAAATTATTATTATTAAACAGTCTGACTGGTGTGTCTTTGTAAATCAAAAATCAAAAGTAAAGTCCTATACCTAGAATGATATTTATATGTATTTTTATGTAACTTATTTTTCACTGTACAATTGTTGTCACATCACAACACAAGGCAAGGCAAGTTTATATGTATAGCACAATTCATACACAAGGCAACTCAAAGTGCTGAACAAAACGAGATAGCATTAAAATCATTAAAATCTAAAATAATCATTAAAAAGAAAGATAAACAGAACTGTTTTTAACCTGGCTTTAAACATTTTCTGAGAATAGGCCTGTCTCAGATCTTCCCGAAGATTGTTCCAGATTTTCACTGCATGAATCTGAAATGCAGCCTCCCCTGTTTAGCTTCCTAAACAGAAACCTTTTTTTTTTTTCATTATTATATACATGTTTTGTTTCATGATTTTCAGACCAGTATGTGCTCAGGTGTTCCCAGACGATATGCATCTTCTCCACAAAATAAATAGTTGGAATGACTCAATCAAAACAAGCAAAACGCGTGTCCTTCTCTGAACACGTGCCTCTAACCACAACCCACTCAACCACATCGCCGCCTCCACCCGTCTCTGTTCTGCGTGCGTGTGTGTGGATCTGCCTGTAAGCACCCATCATATGAATAATTAAAAAAGCAGACTTCGGGGAACCGGTTTGTTTTTGGAAAGGCGCGGAAGAGGGTGGTCTGAGAAAAGCAGCGGCAGTCACATAGATAGACCGGCTTATGAGCAGGAGAGTGTGTTTTAGATGCCTTCAATAATGGATAGAATGGATGCGGCACGGCGGTTTGGAGTGGGAGTCTGCAGCATGTAGGGCCTGTCACACATTCCCATGCGCCACGTCTTTTTTAAGTGTATGCATATATATTTATAGACAATGATTCAATTCAGTTTATTCTTGTGTAGCCCTAGGCAGCCCTAATCACAACAGTAGCTATTTCAGAGGACTTAACAAAACCGTTGAATTCGCTAGCACAGGTCAGAGAATTAATCAGTTCAAACACAAGAAATTATTCAAATAGAGCCATTGGTCCATAAGGGGGGGAAGACCTATGTCCATAAATGTGGATAAATGTCCATAGATGTTGAATGTTGCGCAATAACCATGGAAGTATTTTGCTGAAATGATACACACTCATTACATACAACGTGACATACATAGCCTTTGTTGGTTATGGCTTACAGTCCATTTTCCAGATACAAGATTTAATCAACAAAACTCAAAAAAATGACAAGATCCAGGATATGACAGAACTTCAAACTCAACCCACAAAGAAACAAGGTCAAGAATACAAAAGACTAACAGAAAGAGGAGAGAGCACAGGGTTTAAACACACACAGGGACAGACTTTAGGGCTGGTCAGGCAAACAACAGAACAGGAAGTAAAAACTGGAGAACAAATAATGCTAAATTAAACCGGAACTAAGATTTGTTTTAGAAAACATGACACTCAAACCATAGGTAAGAATTTGGTAATAGTGTTTTATTTCCATGGAATCATTAAGTTGATTTTCTATATCAACCGAATGATACTAACTGAATATTCTTTTGGATTTTAGTTGATATTTAAAGGATTATTTGCTGTAAACAGTGTTTTTTTTGCCACTGCTTTGTATTTTCTAATTGTATATATATTTTTTTGTATGTCTTTTTATGTACAGCACGTTGGTCAATCTTGTTGTTTTTATTAGTGCTTAATCAATAAACTGGACTGAACCATTTTTATTTTTACAAGCTGTGCTTTGTGGTTCATTTAATCAACATTAAAACAAATAAAAGCTTGATTTCTAATCTCACTTTGCGTGTAATGCGTCAGTCATAGATTAGTTTCACATTGCAAACTGTGAATTCCACAGGTAAATGGAATTGTGAATGATTAGTTTTCACCTGTATGTGAATTTGTTTAACATTCCCAATGTGATTGCGATTACCTACATCTGAATTCATACAATGTCTGATGTTACATGTTCATGAGTCGAAAGAAAAAAAGTATTTGGGACACAGAGGCAGGTTGAGTGTTCAAAATTGCTTTTTTATTTATAAGTTCTCTTTTGAGGAAACTATTTTTATTTTCATAATGAAATCCAAAAAAGAAAACAACAAACCCGTCTCCAGAGCACGAAAACCCAAAGTACTCAAATGAAAGGTGGACCAGGTGAGCCTGCCAAAACAAACCAAAAGGGCCAACACCGAACCAACCATAAACAGGGCCGTCCGGAACCAATGCCGGCACCAAAAGAACAAACAGAACCTGAATAGCTACACCCTCCCCAGTGAAAATGTAACCACCGGACACACCAGATCAAACAAAAACAAGGCCAGGAAAGTCTTAAAGTCTATTCCCATTTGATGAAAGTCTGAAATATGAACTGAGAGAGTCACGTTAAAGAATCAGTAAATGTACTTGAAATGTGTGAATACTGCAAGTGTTGGATTGGACTGGGATACTGTAGCAGTATCTGGCAGCTCTGGTGATGAAGGGAGAGGAGCATGTTTGCACAGTGACCACACACTAAAGCGTGGGAGGAGACACAGGAGCCCTCCACATACAGCTCTGCCTATGTGGCTCTGAAACAGCACCGTCATGCACAGCCAACAGTGCCACTCGCCAAACGGAGCCATCTTTCACCGTTAAATAACTCAATTTCAAGTGGATTCCATTACAGCGAAAGGGAATGGACTGGTGGTCGCATACCAGGGGTCTCGCTGTTCCAGGCTATAAACGCTCAAATAAGTCAGCGCCGCTATAGGGATGGGACAATAACCTGTACAGCCAAACGATGAGATTGAAAAACGATATAGTCTAAATCCAGTTTGTGGGAAGAGACGCCCTCCTGACAGGGTATTTTTAGTCATAACACATTGTCTTTTATGCGACAATTTCAGCAGGGAATAAATGTAGCTGTCTGTGATTATGGCCTCTATAGTTTTGCCTACCATTGGAATTGTACATTATTTGTTGATTCTGTAGATATAGCTGTAAAAACGCAAGTAATTTAGGACGTCTGATAGATCAGTTTGATGCCGCAAAAGCATTAATAATTCATTTCAATATTGAGGCTCACAGATTGACATAAACTTTGTATCGGTTTATGTTTCATGCGGTGAAGAGTGATAAAAAGGTCAACAAATGAAAGTCAAAAGCACGGTATATTTAACTTTAAAACCAAACATAGATTTAAAAATACTGGTGGTCTATTTATGCCATAAAAATAGTAAAACAAGTTTGCGTGAGCTTGCATCCGCCTGATTGTTTCCATCTCACATTATCCATTCAACCAATTTTTACAAAATGATGCAAAACTGGCCCTAACTTGATGTCACGGACGCAGAACAAAAGTGAGAACACATAAATACAAGAATTACTTAACGAAACTAGAAAAAAATGACAAGATCCAGGATATGACAGAACTTCAAACTCAAACCACAAAGAAACAAGGACAAGAATACAAAGGACAAAAAGAAAGATGAGAGAGCACAGGGTTTAAACACACACAGGGACAGACTTTAAGGCTGGTCAAGCAAACAACAGAACAGGAAGTAAAAACTGGAGAACAAATAATGCTAAATTAAACCGTAACTAAGATTTAAAAAACATGGCACTCTAACCATAGGTAAGAGTGGAATCCTTCTGTTGAGTTTCTATATCAACTGAATTATATTAACTGAATTTTCTATTGGCTTTTAATTGATTTTGAATGGAATATTTGCTGTATATATATTATTTTTTGCCACTGTTTTGTATTTTCTATATGTATATTTGTGTATGTCTTTTTATGTACAGCACTTTGGTCAATCTTGCTGTTTTTATTAGTGCTTAATAAATAAACTGGACTGAACTATACCCCCAGAATGTGTTGCCAATTTAAACAAGTACAAACTAGGATTCTGCTGAGGGCATTACGCATCCCAGGCTCAGCAAAATCAAGCGTTTACAACAGTGCCGAGTGATACATTCCCGTCTACTTCTCCTGTTTCATTTTTAACTCGAGCTTAAAATATTCCAACAAGAAAATCACATCACAGCCCCATTGTCATCGACCCGTGAAAGCATTTTAATATCCTTAAGTCTGGGGCATTTAGAGCCACTTCTGCAGGGTCAGGCTGAGTTAAAGAGAGCCGGATTGGCCTGCACTGATTCATTTAGTCTTTGGCTCAGTGAAGCAGCAGCAACACGTGCCAACCAACAGCTACTGGTCCAGGCTACAGCAGCCTAGTTAGAACATATTACATCACATTACATAATATATCAGGCCGGGCATTGCATCCCGAGTGGCACATGAAGACACTGTAGCACGCGACACAGTAAATAGTGGATCAATATGTTGGTCTTAAGTGTTTCGGCCCAATATCATTAAGAAAAGATAAATGTACAATCCCTCTGTACTGAAATAAAATAAAACAAAATATCAAACTTTGCTTAAAAAAAAGAAGCAAGTATGACATCTCTAGCTTTAGCATAATAACGTAGCAAATACTGTATATTCTAATGCAAGAATTATATAGAAGTATGTATACATCTGTACATGTTAGCAGCACGGGCAGCATTATTGGCCGATAACATTTTTAGTTTGAATCTAAAGAGAAAATATGGGAAATTGACAAAAATCTTAAGATAAGGATTGTTTTTGACAGTCATGCAGGTTGAACTGTTATTCTTTCTTTGCTGTTTATTTTGTTAATTTCTTATGATTGTTAAAAATATGAGTAATGTTATGTCTAAATATTATTATTGTTTTTGACCTTTTTCAACGCTTCTTCTGCATCCACTTTTTAATCCACTAAAGTGATGACCAAGAATGTCTTTGCACGA